TTTCCTAACAGTTTCATATATTTTGCAGTCTATTACACACCTACTATTTTAAGAAAACAAAAATAAACATGCCGTGATTTATGAAGCCGAAGTTACCTTTGAACAAACGTCATAGAGATTTAGAACATTCATAAAGCTATGCAACAAGTCGATAGGAACTTTACATTCTCTTGATACCATAATAATTAACGCCATCAAATACAACAACATTAGAAACACAATGCATCATGTTTGACATTGATGCTTCACTGTCGCATAACGGCTAGCCACGCGGACACCATTCTGTAAGGGAGCCGCATCAACAGCACTTAACTCTTCCTAGTCTCTTTGGCCCCCTTCGGACAATTCATGAGCTGTCCATATCACAGTTTGGCCCATTCTGAGGGAGGAATGCCAACACCACTCACCTTAGTGGACGTCAATTAGGCATGCGTAGCACATGGCTGAACCAAGGCAGTTTAAGTTGCCCCATACTTTCCGCGAATGAAGTACCCACCGCACAACCAACTACCCGTTTCCTAACTATCTCGAATTCGTTACGAAATCGTTGACGCCTTCCGACACCAGCAAGGCTTTTGAGACACCTGTGGTCACAAACCTAAATACACTTTAACGCTGTTTGTAGAAGTCATGTCTTGCAACCATACGGCAATGTAGCTCATACTGTAACCCAGCATACGTGACCTACGAGATCCAGTGACATAACATTTTGACATCACGAATGTCGAAAATTAGCAAAGGGGGTTGGGGTGTTTGAGATTCGTGCGCTAACTTCACCAAGCATACCTGTATCAGAGCCAACACAACCACCGAGGTATTTTAATCCTCCGCCAACTCCAGTGCTTCTTCTTGAATTCCAAGGCGAATGCTCGGAGACTGAATGTTCTTGAACATGAGTTGGCAGATTGAAGGTCCAGGGAAAACGCCGGAAAACGATGATTTTTTTTGCAGATTCTTATTTCCCATTCTTATTGTGTACAACGAAATTCCATGCTTTTGTTGTTTTGGTCCTAGGACTTGGCAGATTGCCTTTAATTGTTGCGGACCGGTGTTTACAAGCCGGCCTAGTCATACGATCTGGTATGTGTATAATTCTATTATTTTATTGTAGTATTCGTAGTACCGCATTTTTTGATAAACTTCTATTTGAACGGTTTGACATTTGAGGTTTTGCACATAACTCAACGTGGCCCCGAGCTGATTGCTGGGTACAGTTTTTGGTTTTGTACCTTGGATGTGCTCCACACACTTCTTTAAGTTAAAAGGTGGCACCGGCTGTGCTCACCCTATCTACAACTTTCCCAACATAACTGCCGGATATTGGAGAACTTCCTGTGTTCGCACCAGCATTGCATCGACGATGAAGTTAAACAGGGAAGCAGGATAGTGCTTTTTGTTAAGAATCTTCTAGAGAACTCTCCATACACCCTCAAGTGCACACTCTCAAGGTGTGAATATAGGCGCCGGATGATGTTGACAAATTTCTGAGGCAAATGTGGTTGACAAAACTGATGACTACAAGAATCGAACGCATTCATGAAACCAAGCTATAAACAACATTGTGGATCGGATGTACATAAGGCGTTGCCCAAACACCTGACGGAGACTGCATATGTGGGCGATGCAACCTCTACCCAGTCGAAATCCCACTTGATGCTTGCCGGTCAAGGATTCGCCCGCCGCAGTTAAACTAGTAAACAGTGACCTCCACGGCTTGGGTTCTCGCCTCGGACAAGCTGGCAAACACTGTTTCCCAACTTCTACAGATCAGGGTGACAATTACCATGGAAATTTTATGTATGACAATCCGTCGGCGACAATCAGTAAACTACAAATGGCGGAGGAATTCTTGCGTAAGAATGCTGTCCATTCTTCGAATGCCTCAGGGCATTTGTTTGTCATTGCCCGACATACATTTTTTTAAGACTTCACTTCGAATGAACACGAGGACTCACCCACATTATGTCGGACAACATAAAAGGGACTGGCCTTGCTGGCAGAACAACAAGACGATAGATATGAGTGTTGGTGCTACGTTTTGTTGGTCGCGATTTACTTCTAAGCCGAAAAGTTTTCATTTTCTAACGCATTAAATATTGCACCAGCTTGACGAAAGGATAAGGTAATACAATGCCATCTTAATAAATCATGTGACCTTGGAGGAAATTCAAAATTGCAGTGTATTTATCCACTAAATTAAATGAGGCCAAACGCTGTGGTGCAAGTGTTTACACTCCACGAGTTTTACTTTTTCAGAATTACCTGTGCAAATAGACAGCACAAACAGGGGTTCAGAAGTACAGAACAATTGGGAGATCAATTTGCGTCTCCCAATTAGTAAACAAAGTGTTATGTAGACG